TATCAGCGTTGGCCAGGCCAGCCAAGCCCACGGTTGTACTGCACGCCTATGCTCCCAAACTTCACCGACCCGCACTCATCCAGCAGTGGATTAGATAGCCAACGGGAAAGGATGTTTTTTTATTATTATATTTGATGACGACCGCTTGTGTTGCGATCGAAACGTCGTGAGTTTTTGTTTTTTTATTATTTTTATTAATTGTATTTTTCATCTTCTTGGTCTTTCGGTAAAGTCACGTAGAAGGGAAATAATAAAATAATAAAAATAAAACATAATAAAATAATTCTCACGACGTTTCGGCCACAACGCAAGCAGCCGTCCTCAAGTGAAGAACAGGTCTGTCGGGAAGACAGCGTCTACGTGACTTGAAAGAACCAAGAAGATGAATCCCTGCAGTCACGAAAGCTTTAAATTGTATTTTTCATCTCTGTGACTTTACCGAAAGAACCAAACAATATGAATTCCTGCAGTCACGAAAGTTTTAAGCCAAACATTTTCATCCATTGTTTCACAACAGTGGGATGTTTGGAACAATACCAGAGACATTGCGTGTGTTTGTGTGTGTGTTGGTTTTTACCTATGGGGGGAACCTTAGAACCCGTAGGAAACGCACGCGGAACAGGGGGTGGAGGGGGCATACAAACTCCACGCAGAGTGGCACCCTAGTCCTAGATTTGAAGCTTTCGTGACTGCAAGGATTCATACTCTTAGTTCTTTCGGTAAAGTCACGTAGGTAAATCAGTGATTTTTATTTGTTTATTCATTTTAATTTCATTTTTTACCTACGTGACTTTACCGAAAGAACTAAGAGTATGGCACCCTAGTAGCCACGAGGCACACGTGTCACCTACTGCGTCGCCAAATGCCCGCGTGCCCTCTCATCAATCCGCCGCTGGGACCAGGGCCACTCGGGTCGCGGACATTCTATTAGACGATAATTCACCACGCGGGGTGACTGACGGTTGGGGAAGCGTAGAAGTGCAGTACAACGCCGGACGTCGCGCTCCACTGCCCTCTGCCGGACAGCGTGCGTAGCGGGTCCTATCAATGCCCTGGCCAGGCGTAGCACTGCTTAGCTCCTGAGATCTGGCGGGATTGGGGGGCATTTCGGGGTGATTACCCCTGGCGTCTTCATATTTACAAACACAAAGGCACAGCCGCGCAATAGCATGCTCATGCCACTGCTGCATGGCGGAAGGACCTCCACTTGAAGGATGTCAAGAGATCCCCTCTGGACGAGGGTTGTTTAGCCTACTCTTCCACGATGGCCCTGAAGAGTTTGGGAGTAACCCCATGTTCTTGGCTCTTTCGGTAAAGTCACGTAGAAGGGAAATAAAAAAAACATAATAAAATAATTCTCACGACGTTTCGGCCACAACGCAAGCAGCCGTCCTCAGGTGAAGAACAGGTCTGTCGGAAAAACAGCGTTCTGACAGACCTGTTCTTCACCTGAGGACGGGTGCTTGCGTTGTGGCCGAAACGTCGTGAGAATATTTTATTATGTTTTATTTTTATTATCGTATTATTTCCTTTCTACGTGACTTCACCGAAAGAACCAAGAAGATGAATCCCTGCAGTCACGAAAGCTTTAAATCGAGAGTACCCCATGCTTTGCCCCATCACCACACGTCACGCGCCGACTTTCCCTTCGTTGTTATCCCGTCGACTTCCGTGTGCGCACTGCGTGGTGTACATGCTGTTGCTGCCGCTACTGAGTGGACCACGGGGGAAGAGAGAGAGACACACACACACAGACACGTGAAGGATGTTGCATCTAAGTGACTTGCAGTAGCATCTACTTAATATATGTATACAGTATACATGTATACATGAATAATGCATGGACTGCTTGCCCCGTGCGTGCGTGCGTGTGTGTGTGCGCGTGTGTGCAGTGGGGGAGATCTTTGCAGCGGTGCGTTAGGGGCCACCTCTTCGTACGGGGTCTTCGGTTGATCGGACACCCAACACCGCTGGAGCCGAGTGTCCTCGCGAGTCTTGGAGGACGGCCTGCGATAGGCTAGCAGTGGAAAGAAAAATGCCACGTGCTTAGAAACGCATGGATTTGGCGAGAGAGGATTTCGCCGAGGAGGTAATGACGATGGGGCTGATTGAGGGGGCTGAGAAAAGGTGATGTTGGTAGCGGTGATGATGATGATGGTGATGTTCTTATTATATGCATCGGCATTGATATTAATGAATTAATTCATTAATCTGATTGCCAGGGTGTTTAACAGGCACAATCATCTTCAGATTCATTGAAGCATGGTCATCTTTAAATCCCATCATTTCATCTGTGATTGCTGTTAGCATCATCATCCTCTCTGTCATCAATTTTAGGGTCCATAATTGTATTTAGCATTGAGCAGACAACATCAACTAACATGTAATATTGACATCATCATTTTTAGGATCATCTTTGGGATCTTGTTATGTATATCTTATCATCATTATCGCTTTTATAATTTGACGACATCATAGTGCCCGTATCATCATCATCACGATTTTCAATATAATCAGAATTAAATATCATCATCATCAACCATAATAGTTTGCATCATTCATTCACCATCTATATTTTGTCCTCACGTTGAACATCACACCTCTTTACAATTAATATCCATCGCCATCATCATCACCTTGAGCATACTCACTTTTAATATCATCATTAGCAACGATTAGTATGTTAATCATTTTAATGTATGTCCAACTTCTTTCGCACCGCTCGTGCTAAACCTACACCATATATGTAAATCTAATTTGATTATTAACCTTATAGCCACGATTAAGATGAATAACTATTTACATGGTCATAAGCTTTAACTTCCAATATCATGTTCATGATATCATAATTATGATCTATCACCATAATTTCTAGTTATGATTCAGATACATCGTCATCTGACCTTCACCGATATCCCACATAATCCAGATTATCTTTAGCAACTTACTTCATTATCTAATTGCCATTATCACAATGTCAAAGGGAAGCCGGTAGATTTACTGTAATTACCTGACATCACCATAATTGATCAATTACACCACCATCTACCATTCAAATAGATCGCCAGTCATTACATCAAAGATTACAGCATCATCAAGCATGAGTCACAATTACATCTTCATGATCCAGTAGCCACGATAAATCACCATCATCACTATCACCACCATCATCACCCAACAACATTATAATACATGATCAGCCTCATTATGTGTTTTTTAGTCACACATTAGCATTATCGTACAAGAGTCAATCAATACCATCACAACACTGTACATGGACTACAATTTTAAAAGTGCATTATCATCATCTATTAGTCAAGATCAATTACATCACCGCCATCATCGTCATCATCAAAGCTGGAACAAACCCGAATAAGAACTTAAGTGATCACACGCGCGCGTGAACACACACGCGCGCACCCACACACGCGCACACACGCACACACACAGCCAACACAGCACGCGAACACATACACGCGCAACACGCACACGCGCGCACACACGCACACGAACACACACACCGCACCGCGAACACACACACGCGCACACACACACGCGCGCACACACACACGAACACACACGCGCGCGTGAACAGACACGCGAACACACGAGCGTGCGCACTCAACAACATAAAGACGATCGCACACCACACAGACACACGCGCGCCCTCACACTGTATAGAAGAACGCAAGAACGCACGCAGACACGCGCACAACAGACACGCGCACACAGACACGCGCACACAGACACGCGCTCACACACCACGCGCAGACGCGCAAGAACACACAGGAACACGCGCACACAGAACCACCAACACACAAACACACGCCCGAGCAGGCGTACATACATACAACACGAAGAATAACAACACACACACGAACCACACACACATAAACATACACACACAAGAACAAAGCCAAAGATCCCACCGTGTGCACCTACATAGACGGCTAGGGCAAGTGCGTATGCGAGCACACAGACACACAGGAACACACACACAGACACAGGACACACACAAGAACACACCACAGACACACAGGAACACACCCACAGACACACAGGAACACACCCACAGACACACAGGAACACCCACAGACACACAAGAACAAAGACACACGTAAGAAGACGCGCACCTGAAAACACCACACAGCAGACGTACATACAATGCACGGGCCCACACAGTAGTCGTACACAAAAGGAAACACACCACACCAGAGAGAGAGGCGAGGGAGGGAACGGGCCACAGTGACGAGAAGAGCGAGATGAGAGCGGGAGTTTGTGAGATATCTGGAGAGAGACAGAGGTGGGAGAGAGAGAGAGAGAGAGCAAGAGAGAGAGAGAGCAAGAGAGAGAGGGGGGTGGGAGAGCGACGGGTGGAGGCTAACGTTACTCACACGGCGCGGGCGGGACAGACACACAGACTCACCACGCGCACAGACACACGCGCAGACTCGCAATGGATAGGCTGCCACACGCAATGCGCAGACGCCTCTACAGCCTGCCCCAGCATCTGTGCCCCCGTGCCAGCCTCATTGACTGCGACGACGAACACACGAACAGCAGCCAGAACGAGCACCAGCAGCAGTCATCCAACGCGGCCGATCAACAGGGAGGTCTTTGCCCGAGCATCGGAGGGAGTGGCGGTGGCGGTGGTGGTGGCGGCGGCGGTGGTGGCAGACTCATTCGACTACGGACTCTTGCTTCGTCCACATCTCCCTCGAGCACCGGCGGTGGTGGTGGTGGTGGTGCGGCAACCACCGCCACACAACAACAACAATCGCGAACACGATCTCGCCGGGAGTTGAGTCTTGCCGAGACGAGGACGAGACCAGAGTTCTGGTGGCCAAGTGCAGTCCCAACGGCGACTGCGCGCAGAGTCGCGAGAGCCTCGCGTCCGTGGAGACCAACTTCGGCAGCTGTCGATTCCTCGAGGACTCGGCACCGCAGGAATCATCCGACTCCAACAACGCGACCACCATCCGCTTCGCCCGGACGGGGCCATGAAAAGGTCTGTCGAAGCGACGTCAACAGCAGAGCGTTGGTGGCTCACGAAAGGACGACTCTTATCTTCGGAGCAGCAGCAGCAGCAGCGGAAGGATTGTCTCGTCGTGGGGGCAGCGGTGCCAGCGTCGGCGGCTCGAGTCTTTGCTCAAGCGGAGGACGGAGGGCCGGGCGCGAACCTCGGTTCGACCTCCGCGGCGGGGGAAGACGTGGACCAGACTGGCAGTCAGAGCAGCTTCATGCACCGGCAGTTCAGCGCTGATGATGCTGCCCGGCGGTTCACAAATTCTCGCTGAGGATGTTCGGCAGCCAGAAGGCGGTGGAGAAGGAGCAGGAGGGGTCAAGGTTGGCCGGATTCTGGATCATCCACACCATACAGCGACTTCAGGTAGAGTCGGCACGGTGGCGGTTGGTGGCGGAGGTGGTTGTTGTGGTGGTGGAGGAGGTTGTGGTGGTTGTGGTGGCGGTTGTTGGCGGTGGAGGAGGTGTGTGTTGTGGTGGTGGAGGAGGTGGTTTGTGGTGGTGGGTGTTGGTGGGTGATTGTGGAGGTGAGGGTGATTGTGGAGGTGGTGATTGTGGAGGTGGTAATTGTTGTTGAGGTGGTGATTGTTTGTGGTGGTGGTGGTGATTGTGGAGATTGTGGTGATTGTGGTGTGGTGCTGGTGGTGATTGTTGTGGTGGTGATTGTGGAGGTGGTGATTTTGTAAGTGGTAATTGTTGTTGAGGTGGTGATTGTTGTGGTGGTGGTGATTTTGTAGTTGGTGATTATGGTCGTGGTGGTGATTGTAGTGGAGGTGCTTGTGGAGGTTGGGATTGTAGTGGTGACTGCTGGTGGTGGTGCTTGTGATGATGGTGGTGGTTGGTTGTGCTGCTGGTGATTGTGGTGATGGTAGTTCTGTTATTGCTATTTCTGCTGCTGGTGGTTGTAGATGATTGTAATGATGCTGTTGGTGATTGTTGTAGGATGGTGGTGGTCCAGAAGATGCCAGTGGTGGTGCTGGTAGTGATGGGGATAGTGAGGACTGGTGGTTGATTGTGATGTTGGTAGTCATGGTGGTAGTGATTTGTGGTTGGTAATAGTGGTTGTGCCGATGTTGTTGCTGTTGGTGATGGTGGCGAATGTGATGCTGGTGAGTGGTGGTGGTTGTGGTGGTGGTATAGTGTTTGTGGTGTTGTTGCTTGCTGGTGATGGTGGCGACTGTGATGCTGGTGAGTGGTGGTGGTTGTGGTGGTGTTAAGAGTGGTTGTGGTTGCTTGCTGCTGGTGATGGTGGCGAATGTGATGCTGGTGAGTGGTGGTGGTGGTAAAAGTGTGTGTGGTGTTGTTGCTGCTGGTGATGGTGATGGTGCGACTGTGGTGCCGGGAGTGGTGGTGGTGGTGGTTGGGGTGGGTGGTGGTGATCCGGGCTCTTTTGCGTTGTTGCGAGGCAAGACTTGGCGTTTGGTGGATCACGTGCAGATTGAGCGTAACCTCTGAACCCCGCCCGCTGGGTGCATGGCAAGGTGACGGGGGATTAGCCTTGTTGACCGTACGGCAAGTCGGTTTCGCGTGATCGGGCCTTTCTTTGAAGCCGTTCTCCCCCTTTACTGGGCATCTGTGTAAAAGAGCTTCATAGCTCATCGGATTTCTCCGGTACAATACAGATTTCCGTATGCGATGCGATGGGGTTCCTCCGGGTTTTCCCCCGACAAGGAGCTGAACTCTGATGAACATATTTAACCGGCCAACCATCCCAATGTAGCAGGACACCTTCCCGTGGAAATAGAGAGTCTTGAGACTCAGTGTTGCTCTCCTCGGTAAGTCGGGGCCAATGTTATTAAGTCGTAAATAGATTTATGCACTTATCAACCTCCAGGGAGGGGGGGGGGGCTCGGTGGGGATGGCTTTTTGTCTGACTTAATGAAATCAGGCTACGTGTGTATTATTAACACACTGCTTTGGTCTGTTAACACAATAATCTCGACATTCACGCAACTTGACCGATGTGCGTTTAAGCGACATTAGCTTGGAGGAGCTGAACTTACGGGGGTAGTTACGATAACTTAAGCCGGTAAGTTGCGAACGAGTGGTGGTGGGTGGTGTAACGATACGTGGAATGTCGATTGTTAACAATTCTTAAGACTCAAACGATGGAGGCATTACGAATCGATGTGTGTTTTTTTTAATTTCTGTAAATTCTTATTCTGGTGCGATTATATAAACGTTGAGGTTAACGTGGTGCAAAAAAATGAGCCTATCCTGAAGTTTACGCGCTGTTATAGGCGACTCATTTAAGGCTGAGTGGATCTAGAGGAATTGCCGGATGAGGCCCGAGGGTTGTCACTGGCCGCCGACGTTCAGCCAACTCGTTAATATCGATCCGAGGCTGCCGGGAACGCATTAAATACGAATACCGAACGAAGATTCCATCCGGCATGGACTTCAACAGACGGTTCGGGGCAAGTGCCGTTGGCAGGGCGCCTGTTAAGAACCGGCACGGCACACGAGGGGGAGGGGGGCTGGGTGGTGGTACGACCCCGCTCCCGGCCGCCTTTGTCTCCCAAATGATGATGTTTACACACCGGAGCCAGATACTCATTTGAGCGGAGTCCCAGGGTCCGTTCCAGTTGAGCTGAGTCACTAATGTCACTGCCACCCCCCTCCCCCCCCATAGCCACGCACTGTAATCCACCCTGGCCCCCCCCCCTCACCACCCTGCCCCCCCCCCCTCACCACCCCCCCCCCGCAAGTAAATCGGGTCGGAGTCGTGGGGGTTCGCGCTGCAGGCTCCCTGTGGGCCGTGACAACGCAGTGCCCCCCCCCCCCATACACACACACACGGACCCCCCTCTCTTCTATCCCCCCCATTTCCCTTGTCCAGCCCCCCCCACCCACGGCCCTCCCACCGCCCTCCCCTCTCCCCCCCCCCCCTCTCCCCCCCCTACCCCCCCCCTTTCCCTTGTCCAGCCCCCACCCACAACAACCTCTCGCTTCTCCCCCCCCCCATTCTCCTTGTCCAGCCCCCCCCCACCCACGGCCCCTCCCACAGCCCACCCCCTCTCCCCCACCCCCCATTCCCCTTGTCCAGCCACCCCCCCCCCACACGTTCGCCCCCCCCCACTTCCCCTTGTCCAGCCCCCCCCACCCACCCACCACACTCTCGCTCTCACACACGCGGTATTTTTAAGACTCGCAATGTCAACGACGGAATCGTCGTCTCGCCGCTAAAACATTGATGATGCACGGTGGAGGGTAGCGGAGGCGGCGGCGCTGATGATGGATGATGCGCGCGCGTGCGTGCGCGTGCGTGCGTTGTGGCGGGAGCGGTGGCGCAACGGTTAGCGCAGCGCGCTACGTAACCCGGGCCACACCGGTTCCGATTCCCGCTCACAGTCAACAACAACAGTGACCTTTATTCATGGGTGCTCGCTAACGGCACTTGCCCCAACAGTCTGCTAAGGCTATATGGGGGTCTTTGCCTTTGTGAGTGAGTGAGGTGTGCCTGTGTGAGTTGAGGGGGAGCGGTGGTGTAGCGGTTAGCGCACTGCGCTATGAACCCGGCGACCCGAGTTCGATTCCCGCTCACGGCCAACACCGGTGACGATTATTTGAACCGGTCTTGGGCCTCCCCTAGGTCGACTCAGCCTCAAATGAGTACCTGGTGTGGTGTGTTAAGATCACCACTGGGGAGACAAAGGCGGCCGGGCGTGGTGCTAGCCACCCACCCTCGTATGCCGTGGCGGCCTTCATAGGTGCGCGCTAACAGCACTTGCCCCAACAGTCTGAGGGGGAGCGGTAGCGTAGTGGTTAGCGCTACGCTGCGCCACGGAACCCGGTGACCCGAGTTCGATTCCCGCTCAAGGTCACCAACACCGCTGACGATTTATCTGAACCGGTCCTGGGCCTCCCCATCGTTATCCTCAGATATTTGAGTAAGCGGTGCGGTGTGTAAACCATCGCCGCGCGGGGAGACAAAGGCTGCCGGGCGTGGCGTTGGCCACCCACCTCCGCTTGTGTTACTCGCTAACAGCACTTGCCCCAACAGTCTGTTGAGGTGGTGGACATGGAGCGGTGGTGCATCGCTTAGCGCACCGCGCTAGCCGCAGCGTTTGTGTTATCCCATCCTTCAAAGATCCGTCCCTCCTTCCACGTAAAACAATTTAATTTGGTTTATTTTTTACACATCACTTCAGCCTCACGGCTTTTTCTTTTTTGCTTTAAAAAATACGTATTCATTTACTTCTGAGCACGCACAATTTCAGCAAGCAATTAGTTCGTTTCGATTTAAAGCTTTCGTGACGGCAGGGATTCATCTTCTTGTTTCTTTCGGTAAAGTCACGTAGAATGGAAACGAAACGTCGTTGGAAATTATTCTATTCATGTTTATTTTTTATTACTTTTACTTACTTCAATTCTCCGTGACTTACCGAAAGAACAAGAAGAACAATTAGTTCGTGTCCAAACTTGCAAAACTCTGGGACCGGTCTCCGACATTCAGTAGTAGCTCATCAGCAACAGCAGAGCCGTGCTCTGCTTGCAGCAAATGATGTCGAACGGCCAGACGTTCATCGGCAAAGACTCTCTCACTCTCCCGTGAGACATCGCTCCGAGATCTAAGCAGAGTCCTACAACACAGCGCACAGAATAATGAATCGTCAGTTTGACGTTGCAACGCGCGCGTGTTGAACTTTCTTTCGCAGCCGCGCGTATCCAACGGTGCCAATCGAGCGTGCTCTGTGTCTCTCCGCATTCATCTCGCTGCTTGTGATCTCCACAAGCACGGGCGACGTTTAATAATGAGCGGCACTAACCAGTGTGGTGAAGTATGGTCAACACCCATGCCCCCCCCCTTCTCCCCCCGGGGCGAACGCCGAAATCCCGGCGGAGGGGGAAGGACTTTCATCCAGCAGTGGATCGCACAGAAGGAATTTGCATAACGAATGGGGGGGGGAGGGAGGGGAGGGGGAGGGGGAGATTTTCTGGTCCTTCGGCAGAGGTCGCAAACGGGTTTTGATTCCTTACCCGTACCCTGCCGCACCAGGGTCGCAAATGGGTACCCGTACCCGTACCCGGCCGTGTACAGGTACCCGTTCCCTACCCGTACCCTACCCGAAATGAGTGACAAACGGCTACTCACCAGTGACTCACAGCCTACCCATACCCGTACCCGGCCGCACCAGTCTCGGAAACGGCTACCCGTACCCAGCCGGGTACGGGTACCCGTTCCCTACCCGTACCCTACCCGAAATGAGCGACAAACGGCTACTCACCAGTGACTCACGGCCTACCCGTACCCGTACCCGGCCGCACCATGGTCGGAAACGGCTACCCGTACCCGGCCGGGTACGGGTAGCCGGGTATCGGGTAGGGTACGGGTATCGGGTACCCGGTTGCGACCTCTGTCCTTGG